AAATTAAAATATTTTTCATTCTCAACCTTTACTTCAACTTAGAAGTAAAGATTAAGCAATAAAAGAAAATAATTATGTGAAATCACTTTGATTTACAGACATCAGTCCCCTTCGGTGGTCCGTTCAGAATTAACGCACACAAATATTGCACTTTCTATTTTCGAAATCACAATAAATTATAATTAATTATACTAATATTGTTTAATAAGTAGTTATCAAGAGGTGATTTAAAATATAATTAAATAAAAAATATAGTTCCTAAAAAAATTATCAGCGATTGTCATGTGTTACAGCACCAATGTGTCTTTTCGGTGGTCAAGAAATGCGCAGATTAATTGGAACATAATAAATTTTTACGAACGTAGCCAAAACTTTACACACCATCATTAATTTTCGAACGCATCCCGGTAGCCATCTTTTGATTGTGACTGGAGTGAGAGTGAAACCCGTGTCTTATTTACCAATAATTGTATTTTGGTCAAACCTTAACGTATCTTTTCGGTTACGCTTTTAAATTGGTAATTTTTTATTAATTTTCTCAAATAAGTATTTGGCCTGTTGGGTATCAAGAACTTAATCACAAATGGCTTAAATTTGTTTTCCTAACCTCAAAATTTTGTTCAGCACTTACGTTTTGTTCGAAAATGTCCATTCGGTGGTCATCTTTTCGGTGGCCCTTGTGACCACCGAAAAGACAACTCGTCACCGAAAAGACATTTATAAAAGATTCGGTTTTACAGCATGTGTTTTATAGATGTTTAATATACTGTTTGTGTTGAGTGTGAGCTTTCTTGCTTTTTCGGATAGAAAAATGACAGGGACCCGGAAAAAATTTTCTGAAGAAGAAAAGAAAAACAGAAAAAGGGAGCTGAAAAAGTATCAAAAGCTTTCATATCCTGAGTGATGGCCCTGTTACTCAGTACAGGAATAAAACTAGGTTTCTTCTATTGGTCGAATATTTAAGCTTTGAATTGGGCGCAGAAGAAATATATTGGCATTTCAGCGAGAGTGGACACGGAAAGGGCGCTCCTGATGGCATAGGAGCCTGCCTAAAGAGGACTGCTGATCGTCACGTGGTTCTGGTAAATGATGTTTCCGATATGAGAAGCTTAATCAGCTGTTTGAAAACAAATGCTCAAGGTATAACTGTTATTCTAACCAACGACACCTTTTTGGATAAAATTGAAAAAAAATTAATGACGCTGCAGTTGAACCTTTCCGTGGAACTTTAAAGATACATCAAATTACTTGGCAGATGATCCCCGAATTTTGCATGCCAGAAGATTAAGTTGCATGGTTTGCCCATCAAATATAATATGCCCACATTTTGGAATTGGTCAAATTCAAATAAAGTCATAATTTGTACAATTTTTACCACTGCTATGATATCTGTCAAATATTTCATCTCAGTCCAAAGTGGCGCCACTCTGGAGGCAGTAAAAGTTGTAGGAGCCGTCATTGTAGGAAGCATTTGTCTTCATGATCACTCTTGGCAGGCGTATTACAACTACATGAGCAGACGCACCTTTGACGCTGTTGCCCGTCGCTGATCTGAATACTTTTCCTCTGGATGTATATAGACGGTAGACATCTCGATGGATATTCGAGATGGTAGACTGCGATCTTTCGGAATCTATGAGATTTCCCTCGCGTTTCTCTTAGACTCATAGTACCCACCTACATGCTGACCACCTTCCTCTAGAACGTCAACGTCCTCTAGAACGTCAATATCCACGTCCACGTTCCTCTTGGCCACCGTCAATAAGTTTTTCAACATGGTAGACGCTTCAGTTACATATATCATGGTTGCAGCACGTTTGCCCATCAAATATAATATGCCCACATTTTGGAATTGGTCAAATTCAAATAAAGTCGGCAAATTATCCAGAACTATACGAGGAATCTGAACACCTGAAATGTCCTCATATTTCCAAAAAAATTTGGAGGTACGAAGATGTTTTTTCAGATTCTTCAGATGATGTTCCTCTATCAAAAATTGAAAAGCCAATTTTTTTTATAGGATCGGGTGACAAACGAGCACACAGTCCACCTGATGGTAAGTGGTTACTGTGACCCATGTCTATGGGTCACAGTAACCACTTACCTACTGTGACATCTATCCTCAATAAAGACTCAAGATGCAGATGCGTTGTCACCTAAGATGGAATGCCTCTTTGCCAGTAAAAAGGGTCTCCGGTTCTCTACACTCACCATACGAAACAGCAGCGTTAAGCTGCTATTATACGCTGGTTTTAAATATTACAAAAAAAAACTTTGTGGTCTGATTCTGAATAAAAATATAAAGACCACCAAAAAGATACTTTTCTTTGTATCTTTTCGGTGGTCTCTATATTTTATTGTTTATTTAATTATTGAAAACATTTTTTTTTTATAATTTAAGTATTTTTGTTCAGGAAAGTTATTATTAAGAGTTATTACAATAAATAATTAGTTAAGTTTCAAACAACTTACAAATCTTTCGCTATCTTGTTCTTTTTTGTGGTCAGCTGAGTCTCTTCGGTGGTCACAAAAAAAATGTTTTTGGTCCTAATTTCTTAAATATCTACGATCGATCTCGTTTTTGTATTAATTTAAGATAATTTTGAGATACTTTATCTAAAAAATAAAAAGAAAACTTATAAAAATAAGTTTTTTTTTTACCACCTTTAGTTTTCCGAAAATGACAATGACCCAAATAGGCTGCAACTTTACTTTACTATATATACTGCTTTAACTTCGGAACTTTGTTAGCGCGATATAGACTTCGATGTGTTTCGCTTGTGGCGCGAAGACAGCGCCGCCACACTCGTACTTCTATGGCTAGTGACTAGAACCTCGTGTACCTTTTGTTTTGGTAACGAGGTATTCTATTGCAGTTCTGAGGACTGACAGCGTATCTACTCCTTTAATTCACTACTTGTGCTGATAGTGACTTACCATCAGGTGAATTATATGCTTATTTAACACCCTAACTTATTAAAAACAACTAAACACGTGTGTAGGTATTCTTTTTTAATAATAGTCCGAAAACGACTTACTGCACCATACTTGTACTCTGCTAATTTTGAAAGATTTGTCAGTGATGATGGCGGCGAAAACTGAAATACTTATTTTTGTTTAATGTTGATGATATTAAATTCACTCAATTTGTAATATAACAATTTCCATTTATTTTAAAAACCTGGAACGTTGAAAGAGAATATCGAATGAGAACGTAATGTCTGATGGGTATGATCGCCCATTATTTTGCTTGGCGGTAAAATGTCTTTACGTGTTAGAACCACACTTTAGCGTAGGTAACGGGGCTGCAATTGAAGAAGCATGTGCATTTTGGTTCTTCGTCGATCATGAATGTAGCTGTCTGTCTATAGGTGATTAGGTGACAGCATCCACTTACAATCGTGCTGTGTGTTCGTTTGTTACTATTGATTGTTTAAAAAACGGTCAATTGTAAATAGGATTCGCGACTTGAGCGTTCCGTAAAATTTAATGATGTATATAGATAATTCATCTCGGGTATTATATATATATATATATAGGTAATTATATATCCCGGGTAATAGGTAAGTTAAGTACTGAATATTGCTCTAAAGAAAAGTAAGTCGGATTGAAGGACAAACAACTTTGTAGTTGAAAAAATTTTCGGTTGTATTTTATATAAACGCAGAAAATATTTTGTATATATGTTATAGACTTAAATTAACGATTTTAGTTTTACCCCTTAACATTTGCTTCTTGCCAAATTTTGTAATTCTTGATTTACGGAAAATACCTTGTAGGTTTTGATGAGTGATCTTGCGAGTATCAACATAAAATATTAAACGACATTAATGGCCGTATCTTTTGAACGCGATGTCATAGCAGCTTGACTTTTTGCACCTTTAAAGGACCGTAGATCTTACTATTTGATATGATTCATTTTAACTTGATATCTTTACAGACGGACATCTGAGGAGATGTCCTGTGATATCTTTCAGTCCTGACGGATTAAAAGGTGATCCCATGAGGATCCGTTTTTTTCTTTTTTGAGGTACCTACCATTCGTCTATCCATCCTTTGCAGCCTATAAAGGGCTACTGCTGAACATAGGCCTCCCACATATATTGCCTCGTAGGAGTGATTTTGCCATAAGTGCCACGCTTGGATGGCGGGTCAGCAACCGCAGTTTTTATTATTTTCAGTTGTTATCAGGAAGATGCTGCTGAAACAGGGGTTTCAATTTCCCTCTGTAGCTTCTTACAATGCCCATGGAGCAATGGGCTTTTGAGGTACGGTTACTTTCACAAGGCTGCAGCACTTACTTCCTCGAACATTTGTAAAAATGGTGATTAATTTAGTAACGTTAGCGTACAACCTTAATAGCTTTTCACATCAAGTTGTCGTATTGTATTATATGTATGGTAATGCCCTTTTCATTGTATTGAAGTTGTAAAAATAAACATTTGTTGAAATATGTGTTAGGTATATGAATTTAAACAAACGCTTGAAAACATCTTGAAGAGTAACATACTTTCTTATTTCATCACGTTTTTATTAAATCACTTTCTTGTTTGTCTGTCGTTCCGGGAGGAATTTAGTAATTGATTTTAAATTAACTTCCCGACAAGCAGGAATCTTGAAATTTTGAATATAGCTCAAATTCAGATGACAATGCAAGAAGATGATGAAACACGTGATATTTTTTTTTAAATTTAAGTTGTTTCTTTCAGAGTCATTTACCTAAACTCTTGTTATTGACAGTAGAGAAGGTTATGTATCTTTTACCATAAGTGTACGAAACACGAATATCAATGAAAAGCGAAAGTTCGTTTGGTTTTGGTTTATACTGCAGACCGGATACCTGCTTAGTGAAAGAAGAAATGGGACAGCGGCCATTGCACCGTCATCCGTCAGTTTTGGTGTAGCGTTTGGCGCGAAATGACGCTCTATCGAAATAATCAAATTAATGTTTCCTTTAGAATAAATTAAGTGAATACAATAAAAAGAAAAACTAAAATACAATGATGGATTTGAAAGAAATCATAAAGTGGTTTATACTGTGTTTCCACGTTTTGCTAATCTATAAAACAAGGAAAACTAACGTTAATTTGACTTTCATATGTTTGTTTTTACTTTTTAATTCACGATTTGCTCTAGGGGCAAATGTAAATAGTGATAGTGACATAGAAATAAGCCATAATGAAATTAATATGAAAAATGACGATTTACATTTAAGTAGCAATGGTAGTAGCTTTATATTTAACCAAAGTGAAAATTTTAATGGTAGTAACAAATACAAAAATGAACAGCGGGGTTTATCGGCAGATACATCTGCAGGTACGTAATAACATTCTTTCGGCAAAAGACTTTAATTTAAAAATATCTTACTTTCACTAAACACACGAGGTACGTAACTATTTTTATAAATAAAATTGAGTTGAAAGCAAAGACAAATAACTATTAATAATAAATAAGGAAATAAAATATCAAGATATATTTATGATATAAGGATGACAAGCGAAGACACTGTCTTCGCTTGTCACACCTGATGGTAAGTGGATGCTATGGCCCATATACATCTACATCTATACTCAATTAATTATATATAATGAAAATACAAATTCGTTGTCACCCCTGAGCCCTGAGGACCAAGATGGAATGCCTCGTTACTAGTAAACCATCTCCGGTTCTCAACACTCACCATGCGAAACTATGGACATTAATCTGCTGTTTCACGCTGGTATCCTGTGAGATCGTGGTTCTATCTCGGTCAAGTCGAATATACTTTTATTGTATACCACGAACAAATATACAAATGACATAACAAAAAGCAGATTAAATGTACAATTTGGCGGCCTTATCGCAACTACCTTAACACGAGGATAATGTTATTAGTGTGTATATAATATGATGTGTCTGGGGTTAATGTATTAATGTGTGTTTTTGTATGTATGAATGTATGTATGAACTGAAGTGATAAGCGAACTAGCAGTCCGACAGATAGTAAGTGGCTACTGCAGTCCGTAGCTCCATCGACACCTTTTTTAAAGGAGAGGGGGGAAATGAGCATGCGGCTCACCTGGTGGTGAGTGACTACCGCCGCCCATGAACAACTGCAACACCAGGGGAACCAGGGGAATTGCAGATGCGTTGCCGGCCTTTTAAAAAGGAGTAAGGTCTTTTCTTGAGGGTGTCCTGCGGCCAACTTCAATATGAAGGCTACGGAATGCCTCACAGCCTGTAATCAACAGATCACAGCAGTGGAAGCAATGTTATTTAGCGGCAGAAGAGTAATATGGCATCTACCCAAAGGGCCACCAAGGCAGAATCTGATTTTGCCTAGAAGTACGTCGGGACGGATCTTACCGCCTAGCAGTGTATACCATGTACTTGACAGAACGTGAGTTACCCGGGTTTGAACCTCGCTGCCCCCATTAAAATTGCGGATTGCAATTTAAAGTACTAACTTACGTTCGAAGAAATAAAATATAGCGAGCGCATGTTGCGTGCAAGACACGCACGCACGAGCTCACATTGCAGTTTCGCGACGGGCCAATTGCTCCATTAAGGCGTAACTGTAACTTTATATTATTGAGATTTTTGAGATTTAAAACATATTTAAAATCCTTACTAATATTATTTGGGATATGTGTATCATCATCAGTTATATCATCTCTTGTTGGCGTTTGGCGTTGTGAGGCGTGTTTTCCTTTTATAGAATAAGGGTGACAAACGAGCACACAATCCACCTGATGGTAAGTGGGTGCTGTAGCCCATAGACGTCTACATTTATACTCAATTAAGAATCAAAATGCAGATGCGTTGTCAACCCTGAGGACTGAGATGGAATGCCTCGTTTCCAGTAAAAAGGGTCTCCGGTTCTCCACACTTTTCGTTATCTCACCATACAAAACACAGCGGCATTAAGCTTCTATTTTACGATTTTATTATATAAAGCATGGTCCTACCTCGGTCGAGCCGACCCATTCGTGCTACAACCACGATATAGCTGCAGCGTGGCTCTACCATGTAAAAGGTGGCGTGGTGGCGTGGTTCTGTACGTAACGAATATTTTTAATATTGTCTTGGAAGATGTGAGATTGTCATTCCATGTAGTGGGGGCCACCCTACACTTCCCTTACCAGTACGAGACTACCACTCGAGAACCTTTCTTCATGAGTGAAGTCAGATTCGTTTGGAACAACTTAAATATAAAGCAGAATGTAGGACCTTAGTACTAACGTAAGTTACGGTTAGCATCAGATTGGTGACAATTTCACATAGATGTCGAAAGCTTGGCACAGTTATAATAATTGCAGTCACCCAAAATTGGAAGTGAGTAAATTAGAATTTTCTACTTAAACGAATCGATTTGGAAGGGGGAATGGGGAGTAAAAATATTTTTGAGATAAGTGTATGAGGTGTTAATTAAAATCTCTTTGGAGGTTTTGCAATGTTTACTGGACCATTTAAAAATATGTAATTCATTATTTTGTATTCAATGTATCTAACATTTTCTTGAAAAAAGAAACTTGAATAGTCTGGAAAACACAAAAGTGCAGGCCTCGTGAGCGTTTCATTTAATATTGATGAAAAAAAAAAGAAGTGACGATAATTTTTACAAGAAAAGAAACAGAGAATCTGATCGAGTTTCATTTATAACCTTTAAACGGAGTTGAATAACAAAAATCAATAGGGATCCTCCTTAGAATATATGGAATACTCACCGATACACCAACCGAGACCCCAACGGACGACAGTCCATATATTTTATCAATTACATTTTTGTTATGTAATCTAAAGTGAATCAATTAGAACATAAATTAATCCTATTATTCAATGTCTGTAGTTATTGTAACGTTAATAATAAATTGGATTTAATGTCTAGCTAAAAGTATAAGAACGATTTTATGTAGCGAAATTGAGGTATGGCCACATATTGAGAGTAGTGCACTCCCTCACGTTGTGAGGCGTGCAATAACGTAGAGGGAAAGTCAAAATTATCAAGATGAAAAGCACATAATACTTAATCTTAATATTTAGCTGTGTGGCTTATTTCATGACACCGGTTTTTTTATATCCATCCATCCATAACAGCCGATTAAAGTCTACTGCTGTACATAGGACAGTCCATAGATAGTTTTATGGGGGGAGGTCTCGCCATAGTTGTCACGCTTGGTAGGCGGGTTAAAAACCGCAGTTTTTTATTGTTTTTTTTTGTTTCCCGCGGTGTTTTATTTTCCTTACAAGACTTATACAAGACATACATATGACCACAGCACAAAATAGTGTTGTATTTTCATTTAAGTATGATATATATAATTATAATCTTCTATTTTAGTAGCTTTTCTTAATCCACTGCTGGATATAGGCCTACCACGAACTAGTTATTTGCAATATTTATAACACTTAGTGAGGTCAAAGCCAATGCCTAATGCACTGGTGACGCTTCTCCTTATCATTAATATATAGATTTTAAGTTGAGCATTTTGTAACGGATTTTCCGAAAGTCGATGGAAAGCATTGAGTTATATGTACTAGAGAAGCCATTCCGAACATTGACTATGTTCAACTGAACTGTAGTGCAATCCATACAAACTAAATATTGCGTAAATTGAAGATTTGTGAATTCCATAAAATAATTATTATTACATTTTTTTTAGAAATATGTGTGTAATTAAGATATTTTATATTAAATTCTCATATTTATTTTATATTTTTATATTAATAACTTATTTTATATTAAATTAAAGTCTTCGCGCATGCGCGACTACTACTCCCGCGCATGCGCGAAGACAGAGTAGGACACAATTTTTGTTTGGAATGGCTTCTCTAGTACGTAGTACATATAACTCAATGATCGAAAGTTATTTGATCTGTGGGATGTACTAAGTGCTTTACACTCTTAATTATATATTAAATAAAACAAGTCCACCTAAAATAAGTACACAAAAACAGTAAAATACACTACACACAATACACACACATATAGACAGTAAAAAATTAAGCAAAAGTGTATTAATAAGTGCCTTTTACTAATATTGACTAGGTCATAGATTAATGATATAATGATTAATGATATAATGATATGTCATCGCGCGCGCGCGATGACATATCATTAATCTATGGACTAGGTATACGGTACGGAAACGTGGTTTTTTATGGCCGTATGTGTAAGTTAAAGAAGACATAATAACTACAGCGACAACTTAATTCAGGTTGTTTTTCAATGATAATAAATTTCTTGGCAAGGATTTCTGCGGCAGAACACCAGAAACTTACATGCTTTAATTCCTCCCTCTCCTTTCCACAATCGGACAGCCAGGCGGACCGCGGGTCTTCACCCCTTTGTTGTCGATATTCCACGCATTAGAACCCAAAGATTTGCTTCGTCTTTTGTAATGCGTACAGCAAAGGAGTGAAATAATTTGCCGGCGTCTATCTTTCCGTCCGAATACAATCTGGGCATCGCCAAGGCAAGAGTGAAAAGGCTTTTGTTACGCTAAGACAATGCCATTTACCATCTAGGACTACATCACCACTTACCACCAAGTTGGATTATGGTTAAGCACTGGCTAAGTAAAAAAAAAAACTGTTACAGCTTAGTGGATGAATTATAACCTTGAGTCATGAGGATGAGTGAAATTAAAAATAGGTTGTTATTTTAATTAACGTCTACTAGTCGCATGTTATATATTAAATTGTTTTTAGAAAGCATAAAGATTCCATTTTTTGAGAGACTATAAAATTTAATTACTTTTACTGATATTATATACCACACCACTGTATAATAATATCTTACTTTCACTTAACGGCAATAACAAGTGGCAAAAAAGTGCGATACACATTCCGATCTAAAAAAAAAGTAGGAAAGTTTTACTTGCTTCGTTCTGTTTATTATAAAACATATAAAGACGTAATTTACGTACGTTTGTATAACAAATTTAATAACTAAATCAACTAAAAAAATATTTTTTTAAATATTGAAAATATAAGATGTCTACATCGTATAAATCAAAGGCGACGAGGTCGTTTTAAATTTTAGAGCAGGTGAGCAATCCGAGTTCTGTAACCGATGTCAGTACCACTGAAGTTGTTAGTGCAATTTTAAATGCTTTATTTATCACCAGTTGGCGGTGGAAGAATAGAATAGAATAGAATGATCTTTTATTCAATATTGATTATTACATAATACTTGTTGAAAGTCATTTTTTATTTATTTACCACTGGTTCGGAAAATACCTCTGTCCTGGGAAGAACCAGCAAGAAACCTAGCGGGACTTTTTTTAAACATATTTATACGTTGTAGAGCCATGCTGCAGCTATATTAGTAGTATAGTT